TCCGCCATTGGAACCGCTAACCAGCTGGTGTTTAGTGGCTTTCTTTATGATGCCAATAAGTAAACGTAAAAAAACGAAGCAAACCAAACCAAACCAAACCAAACCAAACCTCACCAAACCAAACCAAACCAAACCAAACCAAACCAAACCAAATCAAACGACACAGAAAAGCACGAATCAAAACGAAAAAGCACGAAACAAAGCGAAACCAAAAACACTACGTGTGCGTAGAACTACGGGAGGGACGACTTCTTGTGTAGGCTATACAATGAGAAATTCTTATTTGTTAAAACAAAGTACTCATGATATCCTTGTAATTGGGGAGATAAGAAAACACGGCTGCCCTCTCTAAAATCTACTTGAGCCAAGCATAAATGTCAAGCGTTTCTAGATAAAACGGCAGTCAGGCCAAAGTTATGCCTCTTCTCACCGCCTACGCAAAGTCTTATTGCGAGGTCAGGGAAGTATAGTAATAGTAATAGTGAAAATGGTTCAAGTTTAACCCCTTTGTCAACGCCAAACGGTTATTTTAGAGGTGGGACCTTCGATTTTAACGCCAATCTCCGAAAGGACTGAGCCTAAAGGGAAATTCGTGTGAAGTTGTTTTCTAAAGGTGACAATGTCTCACCGAGCTGAGACTCAAACCCAGGAACCCTCGTGGAATCTCACTGTTACGAATCTCACAGCTGAACCCCTAGGCTACCGACATCACTGAAGCATACAGTGATATCACAAGAAATCATAGACTTGTATAATAATAATGTTCAATTAAGACCCTGCATTCTGGTGTATTTCCGGCTCACTATGGAGCGCACAATTTTTCTAAATTTAAGTCAAATTAAGGGTAAAACGGGAAGGTACCTCGAGTATTCAACAATAATGAGATGAATGAATGTTTGGTCTTTCGTTCGGGTGTAATGGCAAGGCACTTTGTCCTCCGAGGAGGGAGGGCGAGAGAAAGAGAATATGAGAGAGAGAGAGAGAGAGAGAGAGAGAGAGAGAGAGAGAGAGAGAGAGAGGATAGATGCAGAAAGAAAAGCACAGTATGTCATACACGTTATGTCTACCAGTCCCCTCTACTGTTTGTACTTATTTGTGTATATTATTAAGTTCGAAAAATATAACATGTCTTTTTCATATCGCTGAGTCCCAGAGTCCCAGCTTGATAACAAATTCTTGTTCAAACATTACCTAACGATTTTCAAAATCTGCTCATCTGCTGTTTTATCTAATGGTTCATGTAGGCTGAGCGTGTACAGTGTAGACAGTATGCTTGCTGAATAAAAAACCAGCAGTAACATAAATAATAACGTTATACCAGACAGAAATAAAAGGAACGTAGCAACCGGGCAACAGCAAGAGAATGGTTACTGTGGCGTCAGTAGTTATGACGAAAATAATTATGAAATAACACATCACCCCAATAAAACAGCTTTCAAAAGTAAAAGCAATTTGTCTTTCGGCCATGAAACGTTTTCCTGTGATTGTGTTTTGCTTATCCATTCCCGTGGTTCTCTGTTTGTCTGTTCCATCAACACGTCCGCCATATCTTTGCACGACCCAATTAGTTACATAGTGTTCTCTTGAGCTGAAACCCATGAACTGGTCTATGGTCTGGTAGTCGGTCAATAGTAAAAACGTTCGTCTCACTAAATATGGTTAAAAATAACACACACACACACACACACACACACACACACACACACACACACACACACACGCACACACACACACACACACACAAGCAGCTAATAGAGATATTGACGACCACGCTGAAACCAAAACCTTTTTATTTGTCGAAAGTAAAGCTAATATCTACTGAACATTTCCATCTGTTCGTAATTCTAAACTCGAATGCAGATGATTTTTGACGAAAGTTAGATACTTTGACCCTCTCTACCTACCATGGTGTACACCCCAGTAGAAATCCGGGGACGGGCTCGGCGAAGATTATCTTTCAAACAGGGACTGAACTTACGTCTTTTGCTTGAGGGGCCTGAACCTTTTCCATGCTGGAAAATCTAGGTTTGGGTCCCTCTGCAAACAACACCGCAAGAACCGTTCCCAACAACACTCACACAGATAAACTGAATGTTGGTGATCTTCTCTGTGTACTAATGTAGTAAAAACAAGAACTAGTTTCACAATAATTTAAAAACAATTATTGTAGGCAAGTTTGTTTGAGTACAGAAAAGAACGTAGGCACATTTAGTGAAGGGAAAAAAGAAAGGTAGACAACCAGAAACGACACAGGGAAAGAGAAGAAATAGGATCCACCGACAGCGCCTTCCAATAACGCGTTATAAACAAATTAATAGTTGAAGCCATGGGATGATAGTGTACACTTGATGCTACTTGCCAATATCGACAGCGATTTGAACACTGACGCAATTAAACAATGGGTGTATTTCGGGCCGCTAATAAAAAACTTTGCTACACCATCAAAAGTTTGTACGCAATATGAAGCGAAACTTTTCATTCAGACAAACAAGGTGTTTGCACATCCGAGAAGGTGCGTAGGCCATCAGTATCGCGTGTGTTGTAGAAGTGGGAGTGAAGAGGGAGGACTTTTCAAGAGCAGGGCAAACATTGTCGACGATGCTGCGATTAGCGGAAAGCAGCAAGTTATAGAGAAGTTACACATGGTTTGAGGTCCGCTCAATGAGGAGCGAGGAGTGTCTGCCAAGCATTGGATCTGCGAACATGCAGCAGTGGGAGTTGTTGTTGGATACCACTACATTGTTGGAGAAAGTTTGAGGATGTGTTCACGTTTTGGAAGAGAGGATAACAGTGAAAAATTTCAGAGGAAAAGTGAAAGCCTTAAGTTCATCGTGTGTGTAGTGTAGAGGTTAGTTCTTTTACGCTCGTACTTTCACAGAACTGACTTAAGTTTGATTTCAACAGTAGAAATCTCCTCCTAGATCTACTTCTTTTTTATTTGCTGTGGTATTGTGAGTGTATCTATGATGTAGCGGATAGGCTTCCCTTCGGAGCTTGCAGAAGACGTATGTTCGATTCTCACGTGGGTAGGATTTTTATCAAAGATTTTCAAGGTTTGTTTTCTGCCTGGACACTGTTTCTTTCTCAGTGTAAGTTTGCCGTAACAGGTAGGGCCGAAGCAGACGGCTTCCTGAACGGTCTAAACTGTGTTGATGGACATCTACAATTACATTGTATAATTATGATATTGTACTCACACAGCCTAGATTTGTTCTTCCACACAGGTTGTGTCGGAAAGTTGTACGTCTTGAAAATATAAATGGTCTAAATTGTGGCGATGGGGGTATAACAGTGTCAGTCATTCATATCCATCAAACATTGTTGACTTTGTGCTCTTAAAGACGTGTTGTAGTATGACAAAGGCGAAAGGGGAACGACACCAGCGCCATCTCTGCAAGGGTCAACATATCTTTGCTACACAGTTCAAAACTTTAACAACAAGTATTCCCTTCTTAAATATAAATTAGAAAGATGGCAATCTGGAATTGTTGCCTATCCTCCCCTACCCCCTTCCTGATCCAGGAAACGAAAGCCCCCAAATCTTACTTGCAACAAAAGTGATTTTCAAAATAAAAAGATATTTTTCCAAAGATGAAGTGATGAGGCTAAATGTACCATTCTTTTGCCTTTGAAATAGAGTGACACAAAACGATACAATACATACGATAATCTTAATATTATGATATTGAAGTACTGGGTAGTATTCGACAGTGGACTATGAAATTAAAAAGGGTTAATGTACACCGTTACGACTGGCTTTTAGAATTGCGTCTTTGTTCTTGTTTAGTTAAACTCTTAAGAGTGTTTCTTGTTTTTGTCAAGGGGACATTGAGACGAGGTATTATGTTGACAAACAAAACTCTTGACAAAACATTCTGAGTTTGGGTCAAGTAAGGTAACAGCTAGAAACTCAACATTCAGCCCAGGCCTTCTCAGTACTGTATTACTTAAGCTGCTGCTAAACAGTTTTGTGAATTTCGTTAACAGTTAGCGCCCTCTCAGCCAGCCGACGTTGAACGCGTCCAAGGAAAATACGGAACTGCGCACGTGGATCTGTGAGTGCAGCAGATGCTGTTGCCATGGAAACAGGAGTCACGTGGGGTCAATGGCTGTCAATCCATCTGTATCGGGAAGCAATAATTGGGAGAACGGCTCGAAATTCATCACAGTCTGGGATGAGAACAATGGCGACACACAGCACGCGATGATATGGAGGTTGTAGAATGTGGGGTACGGACGTTTCATCTGTTGTGCGACAAAGTTACAGATTTCTTTATCGGGATTGAGAAAATTTGTGGCCAGCCTTCAACAAAGGAAATCACTATGGTTGGTTTAAGTTAATGATACATTGTGAAAAATTATTACTTAGTCGAAGCCTACTGCTTGCTTTAAATTGAAAATTTGTGTTTCGGATTTATGTATGATGGTTTGAAATGCGCAACAACACTGCCTCTAGTATACTGCTGATCAGACATAGGTGTCCACTTCGTCGTTAAAGAATTAATAAAAGGAAAAAAAAGCTCTTCTTATTCAGGAACAACAATAAAATGTTTCCTGTAATGCCACCCTTTGTAGTAAATTTATGTATCAGTAGTATGTGCGGTGTGGTAATTTGTTAGGCAAAATACAAAATATGTTCCCACGACGTTCTCTCAATCTATTGGGGACCTATTTCATCTTTATAATTATTATTGTTCGTGCTGTGACCACCGGTGCGATGTATCAAATGCCGAACATGTACCCGGCACAGCAGACATTCTCAGAAGAACAGATGCGAGAAAATGCTGATCTTTTAAATTCAATGAAGGGTTCATGGGCTCCTTCAGTAGGCGGGAAAGGAATACTTTCTCTCAGAACGATTCCACCAATTACAACCACAACTGGTGAAACGAGCAGTGCAGCTATAGAAGAGTCAGATGATTTTGGTTTTGCTTTCGCGGTTGAGATGGGTCCGGAGTACCAGACAGAGTTCTGTCCCTCTACCTGTCACGCCAAAGTCAATAGAAGTCGTCAATGTATTGAGTCCGCCATCAAGTGTGCAAGACGCAGATGTGGTCAGATTTGTGGAGAGTCCGGGGAGTGTTGTTTTACCGCAGACGACTCGCACAATGATTCTCCCAATGTGGACTCTTCACACCTCACAGATGACAGCATTTCCAATAATCTTACATCGTGCATCACGGCAAGGCCAAATCTCAGTGATCATATCGTGTCTTCGTGCCCTGAACAAGACATGATAGCATTTATTTCAAACACCAAAGAGCAAATGCTAGCTGTGCAGGAAAAAAGGCGTGAGATGGATGCTTGTATCACATGCCTGTTCGCTGATGGCCACACTTCTTTCATTACATCAACATTTTCCAACAAAACATACTGCAATCACCATTGCCTGCGATGTAACGAAGGCGATATTCTAGATGAGGCTAATTTGGTGCTATGGGAAAAAGAAACGTTTTGCCAAATCATCGACGCTAATAAGAATGAGGGTGACGGCATTACTAGATTTGATGAGTCGACTGCAAAAGACAACACGAGCTTGACCCACTTCTGCACGTCGACGTTTTTGGAACCAGAAGATGTCATAGAAAGGTCATGTGACGTCAGACTGTTGGGTACGACCTTTGTGGACTCCTGTCACCCTAGACTGGACATGGCAGTGAGCGTTGACCTGTGCCTGGCTCTCAAGATGGCTGAGTTGTGCAGGTCCTTCACGTGGCCTATTTATGACGAGGACACCATCTATCGCAATATGTTCTGTTACATGTGCCAGGTACGTATACCAGGGATCACGTGGGTATCTGAATATTCCTCCCCCCTCCCTTCCACACACACACACACACACACACACACACACACACAC